AGGGGGGGGGGCTCATACCCTTGTCCATAGAGCGTAATCGGTCGTTTTCATTCTACGTAGAGCGTAGACGAACCGCGTTTTTTGTAGAGCGTATTCGCCGTTTTAATTCTACGTAATGTGCTTTAGCCACTTGGAATTTATCGTAAAGCGTAATCGAGAGGCTTCCGTAATACGTAGCCAGCTCTCAAAATTTAGCGTAGAGCGTTCTTCATAAAGGTCCCCATAAAGGCTACTAGTATCACACTACCGTGACAAAAGTAGTTGACTATTGATGTGATTTCATACCGTAGCAGGTCTTGTAGTTGCCATCCCAGTAACAGAGGTCGTCACCCTAGAAAATATACACGAAAACAGAATCACTAAACTTTTATTTGTAACGTGTTGCTTTACAAAAAATAAGGAGACACAAAGGACTTACAAAGATTTGAAATTTACAAAAGAGTCACATAGGCCTAGGGCTTCTTCGCTCCAAAGAAAAGAGAAATATTGGCGTGTCAACAAGTGCTAAAAAGTTTCAGTGTTTTCTACGAGAATTGAGAACGAGAGTTTGAACTCGCTGGATAAACAAATTAGGGTATAAAGTCCAGTCGACTCAACATTTGAGTTCCGTTTGTCAATATTTTGTATTACATTCGATCATACAGGGGGTATCCAAAATATCATTTTATGTCAGTTTCTCAGTTATGTTCGTATTAGCCTTACAGTGAAATGCTGCGTCAGTGACACCCAAAGAGACTGCTGGAGAAATGCAGGATGCAGGTTCTCGTATCTACGATCTATTCGGATTGATATGCAAATAAGTGAATGCAATTTTTGGGAACTCCAAAAGGAACCAAATCATATCCAGTTGCTTTTTTGGTGCATCTTACTACCAGGATGTCTAACCTTCATCGACGTTGTCTTTATTACTTTATGAGTTTTGTTCTGTCTGCTTGAAATGCTTCAAGTTCAACATCAAACTAAATCGTAGGACGGCCTGCGAGCTTTGCGTCCGAACGTTTTTCAGACACAGTTGGGAACCGAATCGGGCAACATTACAGAAACGCCTGGGAACACTAGACCATGCTGTTTAAAGTTCAAACTTTTGAACACAATAAAAGTTCTCTCACCTAGACCAGTCACTCTGGTCTTCCTCAGTAGTGACTGGTCGAAAGCTCAAGTTGAGAGAACGTTGTTGTTGTATATTGGCTTGAACTTGAAACATCATAACTACCAACACAGATGAACTTTCATTGCAATAAAACTTCTTCTATTGTAGTACCAGACCTTGCTGTTCATGGTTATCCGTTATTCAAATGGGACCGACTCACCATCACCGTTACCAGGACAGATCCCGCAAAGAATGCTGCACAAACAAGCCCGTAGCCCGCCATGTTTCACCTGTTCCACCGAGTGTTTACCGACCGTCGGGTGACGTCACACGGTGCGCACATGATCAGTCCTGAGTGTTTAAAGGGCCTTAAAGTTAACAATTAACACAATACAGTATCATACAGCTATAACTAGTTATATATGCTTAAAGTTAAAGTTTTAGATCCACCATGTATTAGTTCTCTCACCTAAAGGGTAGCCTGGTTACCAAACCTATTATAGGCTATAGCTCCCGAGTCCTACATCCTCTCCGCAAATAGCTACTAAAGGGAGCTTTTGATCAGTCACTGGTCTCCTCAGTAGTTGGATCTAAAGTTTTAACTTTAGGTAAAATAATATATCGAAATTTTTGGCGTCAATGAAATGCCTGTTGAAGTCCAGTGTGACTTTTGTGTGTGTGTGAGGGTATAAGTGTGTGTGGGGGTGGGTGGGGGGGTATAGGCGCTACCAACTGATCCTTCTGACGGGTCTAGACCTTTTAGCCGAATCGTTAGAGCGTCGGGGTTGACTGAGCTGGTGCCCGGGTTTGTGTGCTCGATCCCCGACCCGGGACCTGAAGTGTCTTTCTCAGTTTCTACTCTCCTTAGTAGTTCCTACAGTGGTTCCCACACCGGGAATTAAACCACTAGACACCCCCACTGTTTATAGCCTGGTATCCAGTCTGATTCGTGGTCGGGGCCGAAAGAGCTCTGTCCCGCCCGCCTCACATAGGTTTCCCGGTGTGTATTTCACGAGAGATTGATTAGCCCTCCACGTGATGGGGGAAACCAAATCCCCAAGCATACGCTTATTAGCGTAACTCTCCTACCGGAACGGTCTATTGTACTGGGCGAGGGAAGCTATTAGAGCCCCCGAAGGCACAACCTGCCCGAACACCCCAATACCCCCAATCACGTAAAACTGGAAACGATACTAGGCTAGCACTGTTACACCAGGACAAAGCTTTTCCAGGTACTTCCCAGAACCACTTCGGGGAAAACCCGCCCGGAAGTAAGCTAATAAACGTTACATCATTGTAGAATGAACTATTGCATTTGTAGGGGACAATCAATAAGTATCCAATATGCAGCAAACCATTTACCATTAATAGTGAACAAATGTATGTGAAAAAGACATTTAATTAGTAAAATAATGTGAAGTATTTCTCTACAAGTGGCAATAAGTACTCGTTATTGAGTTAAACTGGTCACACAATAATACACCTTACCTAAAATTTAATGTAACCGTCCGGTCAAGGGTCACAAGTTTTGGCGCGACCGTACGTGTTTACAACGTTGAACCGCGCCGTTGACAACAAGAAGCTTTACTTGAATAGAAGACTTATTTGCTGACTTACCGAGGGATTTGTACTTTAATCCCTATTTAGATTGGGATGTAAGGACTTTCCTTACTTTTAGGTCAGAAGAACAGGGTTCCACGAGGCCAATTTTAGAGCCATTACGGAGTAGTAGTGCGTGGTTTGCAAGACTGAACAAGGGAAAACAAGGCGTGTTGTGCGGTAAGAAAATTATATGCTACAGTTTTATCCAGTAGCTATATATATATACGCATGTATTAGAAAGGTTATTGTAAAATTGCGTCATAGTGATTAGGGCATTCACAGTTAAAAGGCCTTGAAATTACGTCAGCGAATAAAATTTTTTGTCGCTGACGTAATTTTAACTTTCACTTTTGGTAAAACCAGCAATCGATGACTGAATAGTGTCTAAGCAAGGACCTTGCTCTAACTGAACATGACTCATATTGTTATGACCAAACAGAACATTCTGATTTGACTCATTATTATCATTGACTTAAACTGTGACAATTGTTTATTTGTTTATTTGATGGAGCTCCATTAATGTCTGCATACATAATACTTATGACATATTTTTTTATATACTGCACTATTCTTCCTGAAGTTGTAAAAACATATCATTACAAACTTATTAACACATTAGACGTATGTACACTTGAACCATGCTATCTTAATTACAACCAAGTAATCTGATAAGTGTAACTATAAAAGTAGAAATATAATTTATGGAGGTTTTGTTTTTAGTGTGTCAGTGTGTATTGTGTTTTCACATGATATGCATGTCTGGGCACTGACAGGAAGTTTAGGTCAAAGGTCCCAGAAAATTCCCAGAAAAGGTTACCCATTTCCTGTCTTCCAGGTCAACAATAATGAATAAAACAGATTTTTGTTTGTCTTATTTAAAGCATTGCTGAATTAGGATAAACAGTTACTACATGGTGGAACAAGGGCCACCAAACCTGATGGAAATCTACCAGCAAGCCCAGGTATGTACTAGCATTATTTATTGTCAGTTGAACGCACATTTTTGTTTGTGATACCTCAATATTATCGTAGGAACATTCCTTGCCCTTGCATAATCTTTTGTGTACTGTCAATTCATCTGATATTAATTTGTGCTGGTTTAATTTCACATGAGAGATTAAAGGCAGTTTTCATGTTGCTTTAAGTTTGTTGTTGAAACAATTCTGTAGTTAAGTTCTGTACAATTCTGTCGAATTTTAAAATGGAAACATGATATCATGATAATGATCACCAAGCATGTCTAACCAAGGAGGTTTAAAATCAAACTTGTATTTAACCTTCTTGGTGTAACCCTCAGAAGACTGGGAAACAACAGACAATAAAACAGATAGTGAGTGTGAGTGAAGCAAACAAAATATATAAAACTGCCACAAACAATTTCCAAGATTTACCTTATTCTATCCCCCAACAGGCCCTAGTACCCACAAGGGTGAAACGTGCGTGCGACATTCGGTATGAAGTCCTGATCAAGCTGGGGAACATCCTGGACCCCCCTCATCCAGAGGGCAATGACTGGAGGGTCATGGCCTCCAAACTGGGCCTGCCCAACTCCCTCATCGACAATGTAGCCTGCAAGGTGCTTATATAGCTAGCTGCCATCACAAAGGGGGATGTACATAATAGAACACTTAGGACCAGTACGAAACTGACACAGTTTAAGTGTAGCCTCCACCAGGCCTTTCTACGGGAATACGGATCGTAGAATTCGGCAAAAAAGACAGTAAAATTGGCCAAGGGAGTCCAGCCGCGGGGAGGTAGTTTCTTTCCCTCCAAAGTGGCCAGTCAAACCTACAAAGCGGCCAAACTCCCCTGGCAAATATTCTCCTGTATATAGCAAGCGTAGTTAGTCTGGTAGAGACTAGTTTAAGTGCCGGACACAGCGTATGCTAAACAGTACACTACCTTATTGTGTTTGCCTTCAGTAATTGTAATAGAATTTTAAGACGAAATATTTGTGATTTTCCAGGATTTGTTCTTAATTCTCATTTGTTATGTATAATGCTTAAGTCCTGATAATATTTGAAGGACGTGTTTGTGTACAGAAACCGCAATTCAGCACTGGTGCTGCAAATTTTTGTATTGAATAAACCAATAAACCATTCTCTCTCTCTCCCTCTCTCTCTCTCTCTCTCTCTCTCTGAAGGAGACAGATAAAACCGTGGCAGTGCTGCGAAAAGCAACCCACGTGACGACAAGACAACTGGTGCAGGCCCTGTACGACATGGGACAGACAGATGCTTTACAGTTGTTAGTTGACTTTTATTCATCGACAACATGTAAGTTTCATTCACACTTATACTTTGAAACACTCATAATTTCACCATACTGCCAGATATACATGTAGTACATAAAAGAGCACAAGGGCTCTTTGGGAGATGGGACAAAGAGATGCTTAGTTTTGCAGCTGTTGGTTGACTTTTATTCATCAACAACATGTAAGTTTCAGACACATATTTATTGTATAATAGTAGGCAAACTCCTGAATGCCATCCCTATGTACAGACACACTAAATTTGTACCTCAATGTTTATATGTCAATGTTCATAATTCCGATCAGAGTTAGTCTAAGGTTGCCCCATTTGATATATAAAAGAGCACAAGGACTAATATCAGTTATGGTACATGTATATTACTCAGTCACTCTTCAAGTCTAACTAAGGTCAACAAACATCTGTCCTCACTGGCTGTACAGTAACCCAAAACATTTGAGTGGCTCCCATGAGCCTTGTTTTGTGGTGAACCATGAAGTAAATAAAAATCATAAAAAAAGTCATAACAGTTATTATTAAGCTCTATTAAAATGAAATTAAGTTGCTATTGAAATTCAGAACGATAATTTGTTCATATATTTACTTTCAGGTGAAGATCCTGAACAGGATCCAAGGGGCCAGCCATTGGTAAGGCAAATAAATGGTTTTATTTGCATTAGCTTAAAACAGTTAATTGCAAGTACACTTAAAGAATATGTTACTTTTCTGACATAATGGTAGTCTTTTTATGTTGTCCATATGCCCTGGTATAAGAAAACATTGATTGTTTTTAAAAGCAGTCAGTGACCAAGACATAAAAGTATACTGTAAGGAGTTGCAGTTATTAAGGTATTACAAAATGTCTTCTGTCCCCACAGAGAACCCGCTCAATGGACGATCCAATGGAGTCAGATGAACGCTACCCAGTACAAGTCCGACCTGACAGGGCACTGTCGGAACCCGTGGACAGTGGATATGAGGGAGACCCGAGTTATCGTCTGCCAAGACAAGAGTCTGACCAGGGAAGAAAAGGAGTCACCGGTGGACCTTCCCTCACATCCTCATTCAATTCTTCCACGTCATCATTTTCACGATTCAGCCAAAGTGTGTTCATTTTTTGGTTTGCTGTTTTTTTTTTTGGTTTGCATAAATTTTGTAGAGTATAATTTTTTACATCACAGGTATAGAAAATAATACACATGATACTATGAACACCCAGAACTCAGAACAATGAGTTTTCCTCTGTCATTTTCTAGAGTATCATCAGCTGATTAAAGTGTGATTTTTTTCCATCTTGAAGGTTCAACAGAGGACCACATAGAGGAGGAATTCTTCTGTGAGGAATCCAAGCAGTTTTGGTACGCAGTGAAAGGCGGCTCGGCAGAATTTAAGGTAGATATTAATTGTATTAAGTAAGAAGACAAGGGCTCTCAAAACATAAGTATTATTGGGTTCATTGACATTCTAGTTTTTCCTATTCAATTTGACGATGAGCATCTCAGCTACTTTTAAGGCCCTTGGCAATTTTGCTTTAAATTTGAATTTGGTACATGCGATTTTTCCATTTTCAAATAAAAAAAAAATTAAAAATACATGATTGAAAAATAATTAGTATGGCCACAATTAGTAATTTTGTTACAGACCATCATACAATGTTGTGGATGGTAGCAACTCTAACTTACAGCAAAAGTGTAGGTCTGACAATACAGCTGCAGGATGAGCTTGTTTTAAAGAATTTATTTGTCCAACTTGCTCTCTTGTCCAGTTCTATTTCCACTTCGTGACAGCGATGAAGAGTGCGTTTCCGAACGACCCTCTTGCCACCCAGCTCAAGAACAACAAAGTCCTCAAACTCATCAAACATGTGTTTGGGATAAAAGGTAAGGCAACTGCAATAAAATTGCATGCATGCCATCCTTGTCTGAACGTCAATCTAAGGCGACAATGTGAAAAAAATGCCTGAATTTTCAAACTAGTCTGTCTTTTATTTTTTCATTCAAGAAGTGCAGAAAGTGACTCTAGTGTGGAGTGGCAGCTTTGGGGGTCGTGTGGCATAACGGCAGAGCATTTGGCTCCGAAAACCAAGAGGTCCCAGGTTCGAATCCTGCCATGTCACCAACCTTGTGCCCCTGGGAAAGGCACTTTACACGACTTTCTTCTCTTCGCTCAGGTGTTAATGAGTATGCCAAAATGATCATTATCATGTTCGTGGGCATTAAAAGAAAAACCAACCATAACTTAATGTTATAATTGACATGTATGTGATGAGTGTTTCTCAATTATTTGATTCTTTTCCCTTTTTTTCTGGAGGTGACAAACGTGATGAAGTGCAGGTGGGCAAGTTTGTCCTCCTTTTGGGCTGGTTTGGACCCTTCAAGGCAGACGAACAGGGACACTGTATATGCCTGGCACAGGTATGCACATAGCCCATTCTTTACAACCATAAAATGGTAAGAGAGTAAAAGAATCATCATTGCTTTGTACATATAATTTGTTATAAACCGGTACAATGACCAAGTTGGTAGAGTGCTCACCTTGCATTCGATAGGTCATGAGTTTGATCCCCGGCCGGGTCAAGATCCATTATGACCATTTCCTGTCATCCAACAGATCCAGGCACTGATAGATGGATCAACTACAAGGGTGGGCAACAGGCAGGAAAGGTAAGCTACAAGTTTTAAAAAATCCCATATTTCTTTTTATCTTTTGAAATTTGAGGTACATATTCACTGCAGTGCCTTACCACCACATTTAGAAAATAAATGCTGAGATCTACATTTGATTCTGGGGTGTGCACACTTCAGATAATGATGTGTTCAAGACATAACATTGCTTTTTTAATGTAACGTTAATGGTCCAAAAATTGTCTTCACTTATTTACATATCAATCAACAGTTCTTAAACCAGCATTTCCCCTCTGGTCTCTCAGTCACTGATGAAAGCTAGTGGATACTAGCTGAAACGTCTGACCGTTTCCAAAATCATATCCACTTGCTTAAGTAACTGCTTTTTGGCATATCTTATAACCTGGATGTCTAGCCTTCATCGACGTACTACTCAGCTAGTTTATTTTTTCGAACAGTTGGTTTGCAGGTTTGATGAGCCAAGACGAAGCGAATCGTCGGCTGCAAGGACAGAAGAGAAGCACGTTCCTGGTGCGGTTCAGTGAGAGTCTGAGCGAGGAGGGCGGCTTCTCTGTAGGCCTGAGTGTGGGAGAGGACCAGGAGCCTGTACACTTCAACATCAAGGTGAGCTAGCAGGCCCAGTGTTGTTTGTTTGTTTGTTTTGTATAACTGGTAAAGCGAGAGTGAGTGAGGAGGGCGGCTTCTCTGTAGGCCTGAGTGTGGGAGAGGATCAGGAGCCTGTACACTTCAACATCAAGGTATATATAGAATACAACACACTGGGTATTCTGAATCACCTGGGTATGGCCTGAGGTACCAGCCCGACCGTGCGTCAGATCGCCTGACAGCCGAAGGCCGGAGGGAGATCCGATCCGCGGGAGGGCTGGGACTGTTAAGTATGGCCCGGTCCAGATCACCCGTATCGAACATAATCGCGGCCCAGGTGTGACATAAATGTAAGTACAAGCTGTGTAAGACTGGACTGTAAGGTTTGAACCACTCAAACCGGGAAGGACCCCTACTCTTTTCGATAAGTGCGTTGGGTTCTATAACGTGGGGTGTGGCTCTCCCCAAACACAGGACCTCCATTTAACGTCCTATCCGAGGGACGGCCTAACCGAAGCTAGGTACTCATTTCAACCTGAGTGAAGTGAGAAAAGTTGTGTAAAGTGCCTTTCCCGAGGGAACAAGATCGGTCACATGGTGGGATTCGAACCCGTGACCTCTTTGTCCTGAGCTGAACCTGCTACCATTCACGCCACCCGACCCCACCAATGATAATAATTGTGTTTAACTTATTTTACATTTTTCAGGGAAACCCTCCAGCCGCTGCCTCCTCGGTGCCGTTTGATGCGTGTTTGGAGTTCGTGCCGGACCACGACTCGGCTAAGACCTACCCAGACCTGGTCACGCTGGTGAACAAGCGACTCACAAGCGGGAACCCAGTGTACGGAGACGTGTTCTGTGTCCGACCGTGCCCTGACTTGCCCCTGAACGTGACCTTTACTGGTTACGCGGAAGTTAGCTACAGACAATAGAGACTTGCCTGCCTATCATATAAATGCCTTCAAGTGCCAGAGTTATTAACCAAAGATTGAGGTGTTAAAAAACTTATTCTTTCCCAGAACTATCGCAGAATGGAACTTACTGTCACCAAGTATAGTAGGGGCATTGTCATTAGATAGCTTTAAACAATGTTTAGAGTTAGATGTTCAATGGCTAGGTGTAACAAGTCGTAATGGGTGTAATATAGCCACTGCCACTGTGCCGTGTGCCTGCGAAGCTGGTGTGTTACACCAAAGGGCAGTTATACCTGCTGTACTGATACAGAATCTGATACAGATACGAAGACTGGTCTATGCAATCCTGTTAGAACCCATTGTCCCATCATTTAGCTATAGTCACCGCCAATACATTACAGTTACATTAAGAAATATTTGTAATCTCCAAGCAGATCTTTTGGTGGATGCAAGACAGTATCAAATTGCCAAGACAGTATCAAATTGCCAAGACAGTATCAAATTGCCAAGACAGTATCAAATTGACAAGACAGTATCAAATTGACAAGACAGTATCAAATTGACAAGACAGTATCAAATTGCCAAGACAGTATCAAATTGCCAAGACAGTATCCATTTGCCAAAAAGAGATACAATGTACCAGGGACAAAAGAAAGCCAGATAAAAATGCCTAAAAGCCTAAACCTCTGCTTGGAGAGTAAAATATTTGCGATGGTTTTCCCACACTGTCACTGTTCTCTATCTTGCATTCCATTTCTGATTGTCACTGCAAACTGTCAACTTGCCACAAAATTTATGTGCCTCTATTAAAGTTAAATTTGAATTTACAGATATTATTCTGTAACGTGGAGCTGTTGCACCTTAGGTACTATTGTTTTTTTAAGTCTTACAAAGAGGTTTTCTTTTTTGCTGCACATTTTATATATATTATTATATATAGTGTGTTTGTATTTGTGTTGATATCACAGCTGCGCTATATATGCTGGTTGGTTCAGTTAATAAGACTTAGTGCTGAATATGTGTTATAATATATCCGAGAGATTTTGATAGGATTAAGCTAATATTTTGTTTTTAAGCCATTGTTGAACAATATTCCATTAATGAGTATTGCTGAGCACTCTATTTATACAATGTATATCGCATTGTTGCTGAAGATGATTATGAGTTACAAAAGTTAGAATTGTAGCAAAAACTGTGTGATTTGATATGAGAAGACTATCAGTATTGTGCTTGATGTAGTGCTCTGTGACTTTTGAAGATAGATTCTTGCACTTTTTAAATTCAATAAAGAACTTTTAAGATAGTATTTTTCAGTGAACTTGTAACTTTACTTGATAATAGCACACAAACAAACAGACACACACAATGACATACTAAGTTTACTTTACTAGTAAAATTGTACACCCCTATAGCAACAATGGTATAGTCCCCGAAGAGCACGCTGGTCTTACTTCCGGGTTTCGGTACACCTAGTTTCTTCAATACGAGACTTGAGACTTTCTATGTTTTGCGCTTTTTACTTTCTACGGTAAGTTCATTTTACTGCACACACTAAACTTTTAGAGTATAAAGGTGTACAGACTGGGTCAGATAGAATTTCAGGAGAAAAGACCCAGGAATTACTGCAACCAGCTGCCTTGAAAAAAGGGGAACATTATTTTAGCCTCTTGTCAGTATATTAAACTTCCTAAAATCATGGAGGTACAAAAAGTTTCTACCTCCATGCTAAAATTAAATACTAGTATTAAGATTATTTACTCGTGATGCAATACTAAATGCCATGATCTTATGACGTCCTAAAGTTGTCATAAATGCTCTAGCGTTGTTTTAAAATTTAATGGGTGACATCGATTTTCAACAAAAGAGGAAACATTCAAATGCATGTCCAGAGTCAGTATCGAAACCGGAAGTTGTGTTGCATTGCCAAGGAGTCATCAAGGCGCTAGGGGCTCCTTTTGAACATTTTGTTTTGTCTTTGTTTTAAGTTCACAGCCTTCACATTTGTTGTTGTTGTTGTTATCCTTGTTTAACGTCTTAAATACTTCTCTAGACGACTGGTCTCTTGAAATTGCGCCTGCTTCAGTCCAGAGTCAAATTGTCACTCTCTATCTAGGTATTTAACTCTTGGTGCCTATTTTTAGAGCATAGAGGTATAGAGTGTGCATTATTATGATATTGATCTAATGTTTGTTTGTTTGTTTGTTTATTTAGGAAGCTCCCATTAGTGACAATACATCACTATTTTTCCTGGAGTCCTTTACATAAAATACGCAAAACTATTATTTACATACACGCTTAACTGCAATCAAGAAAACTTATCTAAGTATCAACATAGTAAATTACACATTAAGCATCAATTAATACATCAATTAATAATCCCAATTCATTGCGTGTTCAGGTACAGGTATTTTCCCGTGGAGTCCTGTTAATACTATAAACAATGCCACCTGTCGGAACTGGGAAAGAATGGAAGTTCGAGGGGCAAGGGTTCGAATCCAGACTGAGCTCAGTTCTAGAGGACATTGACTCTGCCCTGAGGCTTCTTGCGGACGGCCACCCGGCCAGACGGCATTGTGAGCTGGCCAGACGGAAGCTGGAAGATCTGTTAAAGGCAGAGCAGAACACAGTCAACCAGCAGGACCTCACACAACCATGGGACCTGCTGGGACAAGGAGCTTTTGCAAAGGTATTTTAATATCTACATTTTCTCATTTCAGTCTGGTGAACATAAATAACACTAGCCTGCCCTCACTTAAGTTCCACACTTAAGCTCCTGTTCTGAAACAACAGGAGCTACTTGACTAATTTGCATCATCCTTGTCTTGACTTGTCTAACTTTTATTTCCTTTTGGACTTTAAAAAAATGTCTTAACCTATTTGCATATCAATTAAAAGTTTGTATTTATAAACCTGCTTTTGGGACAACTCTACAGTGTCACTGACAAAAGGTGATACCTGAAACGTCTGACCATATTCAAGATCATATCCAGTTGGTTGCATAACACTTGGTGTATCTTATTACCTGGATGTCTAACCTTCACTGATGTGTATCTGTCTGTTGCAAGGTCTTCAAAGCCCGGTTGAAAGGTTCGACTGTTGCAGTCAAGGTGCAGATAAAGTATGACAGGACGATAACCGAACAACGGGTCCTGAGGTAAGAAAGCCTGGGTTACTGGAAATACAGAGAAGGTACAATAGAAAAGTGAATGCCCGGAAAAATGTGACTACCGATACATTAATTTAAAGTGGAACACATAAAACATCTACCATAAACAAACAAACACTAAGCCATGCATTGAATCTTATATAAAATTTTATACAGCCTGGTACCCATCGACGAAAGGAGTCGGCGGTAACTACGTAGGATGGCAACAGGGCTAGGTCTTACAAGCACCCTTTTATGCTGTATACTTATTATTTATGAATGCAAAATTGTAATGCACCAAGATTCAATATCTGGACTACAGAGTATTATGTTTTTTTTTCATCCCCAGGCATTTAAGCCATGAGAATATTGTAGCATTCCGCGGCACAGGTCGACTATCGGAAGACGTCCATCAGTTTGACCTTAAAGAGGGGAACCAATTCATAGGTACATCAAGCTACCATTGATATGTTACAGGTCTAACTTCGTTTGGTTGCATATCTATGCATATCTATGCAACCATTGAGTTTACTTTAAGTTTTTTTTATATACTATCTAATGCTATGATAGTAATGACTGTCAAAAAATGTTAACAGTGTTCTTTGGTTTTCATTCGGAGTTTTACTCGCACTGATTTCAGGATTTGTAACGCCAGGAGGAAGGTGTCTGGATGTCTATAGTAGCCACCGCCCTGGTTCGTTCATTCATGGTTTAATGGCTGTTTCAGTATTAAAGTGGGCAACCCTGTATAAATATGTCGGAAAAAAAAAGATCTGTATATATAGCTGGTATAACACGCCAGCTTTGCAGGCAGGTGGTGTGGCGGCAACTGATGATAGTATACTGAATGATGAATATCATACCTAACCATTCTGACTTGTGATGTTCCCCAGTGATGGAGTATCTCCCCGACAGCTTGCTGGACTACGTAGAGCGGCGTAAGACTCCGGAACGACAAGGTCTGACAGCGAACATCGTGTGGAAACTGGGTAGCCAGATCGCTCATGCGCTACACTACCTGCACACGCTGCCCGACCCCATCGCACACAGGGACCTCAAACCTGACAACGTCCTGGTAAGTATGACAAAAAGGGCGAAACGTTCTTGCCAACACTGAGAAAATTGGGCCTTACCAAAATTTTTGACTGACTCCATCCGCCAAAATTTCAATTTGTCCTTGGTGCTGAAAGTGTGGTAGTGACTGGTTATTGAACCCAAGTGAAATTGTTCTCATGTAAAGTGCTAAATTCAACCAGTCACTCTGGTCTTCCTCACATAGACTGACCCAGTGAGGCTTGTTACATGGCTTCTCTGATGTGTGACGTCAATACTGGGTCAAGCTTTAGCTCTTAAAGGTGCATATGTAACATTAGGAAGGATGATACAGAAAGTCAGCCAGGATTTCAGCACCAAGGACAGGTACTACATGTAACACACAAGTCCAGACTAATCTGTATATTTGTGTACTGTACTGTAAGTTCAACTTAAAGCTGCATTATGTAACACTATTAACATTAGGATGATGTAGAAAATCAAGGTACAAACAAAGCAAAGATTAGTGTAGGTTTTTGTAACCCTCTGTTGTCTATGTGAAGGCTACTTTTTAACATAGTATTTTTATCCATCCAGCTGGATCCAGGATCATTGAGCATGCGGGTGAAGCTTGCCGACTTTGGACTGGCCTGTCACAGCTACGAGCTGCACAACAGGAGGGATGAGGTAAGTTACAGTGAAGTATTATTCTGATATAGTCATTGTACAGTGTTTATGTCACAGAAAACTTATGGTGTCCATATTTGAACTGGTGTCCATGATTTAAAATAATAAGAACACACACCTTGTATTTGGTGACATATCTTGCCCTGGCTGATTGCATCCTATAGTGACATATATATATATGGCCGAATACTAGTAGTCAATTTCTTGCACCAATGGCTTTGGGAATGAAAACATGAATTAAGTAGCTCAACATGGCCAGCTGTAGTTGGGTACTTGAGTTCGCCTAGGAAGGTAAATAAAATGTACATGGTTGAAGGAGAGAGATAGGCTTCACGGTGTTGAAGATGCAGTATAGAATGACACTGTATTAGACAACATGGCATAAATGTCCAAGACACAGTGGGTAGTCAGCACAGCGGTGACTGCCCCTATTGTGTTCTTTAAAAGGTTATGATACCTCTATCCTTTTTTTCAGCTTGCCCAGATCCGGTGGAGAGCGCCGGAGCTGCAGCATTACGGAAAAGGTGCCTCCACAGGTGCACAGGCGGCAGCTGATGGGGATGAGGATGATTGGTTAGACACGGATGACTTGGACTTGGAAGATGACCCACCAGTAACAGATGGTAGCAATGTTACAATGATTGTCTTTTAAAGGCTCGACAAAGTCAACCGAGCTCATCATTTAAGATGCACGAGGCTTTGTCTACTCAAGCAACTGATTAGATTTTGAAAACTGTCTTACATTTCAAGTAGCATCCACTACTTTTCGTCAGTTTTCAAAATCTAATCAGTTGCTTGAGTAGACAAAGCCTCGTGCATCTTAAATTCTCAATACCTGGATGTCTATCCTTCCAAGACGTACCTAAGTTGATGTTTCTATTCTTTGTCTCTTTTCCATGTTATAGAAGTCCAGCAGGTTGAGGAAACGTCACCTTCCATAGAAGTGTTCATGCGCGCTGACATGTTCTCCTACGGTCTGGTGTTGGGCTACCTTGTCACGGGAGAAAAGCCTTACGACAAACACGGAACCCTCACAATACAGACCAAGCCAGACACAACCCAGGAGCCGCAGAAAGTCGTTCCTCACTCTTCACTGACAGGGCCTCTGCCGAAGATCATCAGAAGCTGCTACGACGATGAGCCGACTGCGCGACCAACTTCTGAAGACATAGTTGCTCAGTATTTCAGCGGTAAGATTGTCCCTTAAAACTAGATTCTCCCAGGCTTTGGGAGCGGCAAACTGTTCTCTTACTACAGACCAACTCTCTGGGTATCTTATCTGTCTATTTGGCCAATTTCTACTCTTTCCAGCCGCTTCCTGAAGCCTGATAGTACTATGCAATCTTCTTCCATGATTAGGTCTCATTGTGGTTGTTGGTGTATGAAATCTCTCACTCTCTCTCTTTCTATCTGGGTTAACGTCTGTTGTTCCCCATGTTTTGAGGGTTAGACGTGCTTGATGTACACTGATACGTTACAGTCTGGTCTCAGGTTTGACATCTTGAAGAGGTGATATTCACCTTTTATGTCAATCCTTCCACAAGTGTGGTAAATCTTCATATGATAAAATAAAATAAAAATGCTGGGGCTTAATAGTAGCTTGCCATTGGGTAAATCGTTATACGTTGATGATGAATGTTGACTTGTCTATATATTTGTGCTTTCTCTATGGCAGTTGATGACAACCCGTACGAATCCGAGGCATTGAAAGCAGAGTTCTTCTCCTGTGGATTTTTGCAGGACACCAAGATCTTTGTGGCAGATTCTCTGGTTGGGGAGGTAAAGCAACACTTTTCAAAATCTTCTTTTAGAGATACACCTACTAGTAACTGAATGCTACCATTGTCTTTTAGAAAGTACAAAGTATTGTAATGAAATCCACAATTTGGCAAAATGGCTGCAAGTGATGTTAACCTGAATAAACCATTCATTCATTCATTCATTCCAAGACATTAGTTCATTATAACTGCAACTTACCAGGTCACTTAAATCAGATATGTCTATGACCAACAAAACTGATGATTCTGACCAGATTGGAAGAGCTTGTTCCTTCCAACCCCAAAAGTCTCCAAATCAGAGTACATTTTTTCAATGATAGATTATCAAGGCACTATAAAAAGGAAGCCTCTGACTATCAATTAAGTAGTCAGATCAACTAAATCTGTTACTTTTAGATTTCCCGCTCCGATTTTGATGGAGGTTTTTGAAATCCTGTCAAAAAACAGAAACAAACAGGGGTTTTGATCTGGATCAGTCTATTCCCAGTTTTCTGATGATAATCTTCCTCCCTCTAGTCTACCGAAGGATTCCGATATGACGGCATCAGACCGCAGGGGTACCCAAAGGAATGTCTGGAGTGTTACGTGGAGGTGAAGGAAGAACCGAACCATGATGTGCCAGAAGACTGGGGAGATCTAGTGTACGACTACGACGGTGAGCTGTCTTCTAGCACTACAATCAAAGCCCATCTATGTTGCGCCAAAAAAAAAGAAAAGCAGAAAGAAGATGGCAGACGGTCATCAAAACGTCGGCTAGTAAAAAATAAATGGTTGTGATAAAAAGAACTTTGCTATTCAGTCGTTTACCAACCAAAGAAAAGCAGGTTTATAAGTCTTTACTTATTTGTCTTAACTTACTTGCCTATCAATCAATAGTTTGTGCTTATAAACCTGCCCTTGTGACAATTAGTCTCCAGTGTCACTGACAAAAGGTACTGGATGCTACCTGAAATGTCTGACCGTTTCCAAAATCATATCCAGCTGCTTGAGTAACTGTTTTTTGGCACATCTGATTTTATTTCTGATTTTCAGAACACTACAAGACGTTCAGGTACCAGGCAGATCAGAAGATTATAGATGATAACCCCATGTTGGCACTGAAGCAGCTGGTGACAGACAGAGCAGGGCCGGAGGAGGAACAGAAACTGGAACTCAGGTAAGTTTAAGATGTCTACCACCCCTGATTTCTTTCAGTGTCTTGTTGCCTCTGTGAAACATAGGGTATTGTTTTTGGTCTGCATGTTTGTGTTTCCGTATACTTTGAGGAATAACTTAACAATCTTGGGATGGATTATGATGATACTGTATTTGGTATTTCAGTAGCGTCTTGGAAAGTCGAATGACAATGTCTATAGTGAACCTCCTACTGGCTTTCATTGGTACTGCATGTTTTTATATATTCAGTTCTGGACTAGCCTGACTGAACCTCGCTTTTTGCCGGCTCCGTAGTCAGTCCACCTCTTGGGTGGTGGACTAACGAGGGAGCCGGACAAGGAGCTTGGGTTTCACAGGCTAGTTCAGGACATGCTGGGGTTTTCATTTTTTTTAAAAAGTTTTTGTGATACCAGTAACTTGTAACAGAATGTAAGGAAGAATTGGTGATGGTTTCAGTCCACCTTAGTCTTTATCTTTTTGAATTGTGTACACACGCATGTACATGTAAGTTTTGCTGAATTCTCCAATCATCTCAGGTTTGTGGAGAGTACATACTGCCACCACCGTGCCATGAGAGAGATCTGGAGGAGCTTCCAGGAGCCTGAACAGCGAGAGCGCGTCCCGTGTAAGAGCATCGTCCATCCTCACTACAGCACGTCCTTCGGACTACACGTGGCAATTCTGACCAACGAGGGGCCGGACAACCCACAGAAGTTCATCTTTGCAAGGAGAGCAAAGCGAGAAGGTGATCTGTAATATTGTATATTGTAAATTCATGGTGCTAAAATCAACAATAGAAGTCTGAGACATGTTTAGAGTTAAAACTTTTGATCCAACACAAAGAAGTTCTCTCACCTAGTCCTAGAGCTTTCGACCAGTCACTCTGGTCTTCCTCAGTAGACTGACCCAATGAGGCTTGTCATGTGACTTCTTTGAAGTGTGACATCAACACTGGGTCAAAGGTGTCTTGTAGACGATGTCGGCCCCCGTCGTAGTTAAGTGAAGGGTGATGGGTCCTGATGTAAATAGCTTCTTTCACCCCTTTCAGGAAATAGTCTGAGATATGATGTTGAACACACTGCCGTTACGCCACATGACCCCACAAGATATGACGTTGTTTCTAATTCCTATATCAAAGGCCTTGATTGTTACTTGTCTGCTTTTGGTTCTTTCCCTGGCAGGCATGGCCAGTCCAGGAGCGTTCACGTGTGGCGCTGTGGAGAGTTGTTCTGTGAAGGACTACATCGTGAGGGAGAACGGCGACACGTACGTGTCCCTGCTGAAGACAGCCACCAGGGGGCTGGACGAGGAACTCCGTGTAGACCTGCAGGTGAGTTGTAGAATGCAGAGCTACACTAGAGAGCACATCGGCAGAATGTACTGGGCCTGCACAGATTTTTAATGGTTTTCGTTGGATTTTTGGTCAACGTTGCATCAGAATTTTGCCTGTTGCAGGCAATATTTTTTCGAACATAAAATTTGCATGAATATGACATTGTATGAGATGTGCTGCCAAAGTGCTATACATTACGGGCTTTGCGCAGGTGCAGTACGTTCTACCGACGTGCTACACTAGGGCCACTACTGCGAGGGCTACTGGTGGTAGTGTGTGTTTAAGTACCACCATAAGTGTTGAGTGCTTACCAGAATGTGCCATTTCTAGCATTGTTGGTATGACTCAGCGAGGCTTTGAACCAGTGAACTTTCCAAATGCAATTCAAGGTGCTATCTGCTAGGCGATTGTTGGTCTTGTTCACTAAGACTTCAATACATTTACCACTGGACTCTCTGTTCCATAGGACAGTGACCCCGAGGCTCTGGTTCTGAACACCGTGTACCTGAAATTTGACAACCACGAGTGGGGACTGTGTGGGTACGTCGACCTAACCGACCCTCGCATCGCTCGAGGCGCACAGCTAAGCTTCGACCAACTCCGCGGCCGCTTCACGACCGGCCCGAAGGACAAATTCGAACACGAGGAAGTTGTAGCAGTGGACTTCGAGCTTGTTCCAATGGTGGAATTTGTGAGGCAGAATTATAGGGATTTCGCCAGCTCGGCGAAACTTGTTGTTGTGAAGGTTATGCAGGCATTCTTTGGTGTAGCTGCGACAGAACATGCATTTAAAGCTCACGCACTACCACCAAGCTAGGTAACATGGAAATGTCTGATATATGGTGTAATTTATGGAAAACTTTGCCTATCTGAGACATGACTATGGAGGAAATATTTGCTCCATGAGATATTTAGAGATAATTGAACAGAAAATTCCATATGCATTATCTTTAACAAAAATTTATTGCACAACAATTGTACAATATTTTTTCCTCTATATCTACAAATCTATATGAAAGTTAATATTTTGCTTTGGTAGAAGTAGAATGATGGACATACAATGTACATAGTTTGGAGCATAAGCTGGAGATTTGATTCAGTAGTGCTGCCGTGCAGACATTGGCATTAGATCCTTGTCCTCCCAAGGAATGTCTCATTGTGTGTATCAAAGTTGAGTGTGCACATTCAAATAGTCACAACGCCCCCTATCACTTTGAGTAAAAACTGCAGATGTTTGATGCACTGGTACTGCAGGCCATGTTGACACTTATTTGGTTTTCTTCTTCATCTTGTCTTGTAGCATAACATAGCCAAAGAAGGAACCTGTAAATGAAAAAAAATCGGAAAACTATTTTTGTAATTAATAGCGATTCTTAAATTTTTGTGCTTAAATTTTTTACACTAGTACAGTTTGTATATTTCTAACAAAATATTAAAGTTAGAGCTTTAGAGTCTGACCGGGCATCATGAATCTAGAAATACAGTACTGTAACAGTATGTTTCACGATATACAATTCCATATACAGTATTTATTATACACGTAGATAGATACATAGCTAGATAAAGACAGACAGATTAGATAGATGGATAAATGGATGGATGGACAGATGGGTGGATGGATAATACCCGGTATGCCTAAATACCTCAACCGGCCTCAACCGACCGCAACCGACTGCGTAATGGGTTAATATGCAGTTATAATACATGGGCTAACAACATTTTCCAACGCTCTGGATACCTTGTCTATGCTTGTATGAATGGAAAAAAACACTGTAACTCTGGCGTATTTACCAGTTTTTAAAAGTTTTTCATCGTTGGGCCATCGTTGGGCCTGCATGGGGAATCTCTGGACACTTTTTGCTTTATACAGGCAACAGAACGCAAAGATGTTGGTTTATAAATCATAGTAAAGCACAAATACTATATATCATAACCAACTCATAATAGCTATATAACGAGTGTTTCAAGCCTGACATCCAAGCTGCTAAGCACGTACCCCTACCGGCTTGACCTCCATTGACCACAAGGAGGAACGCTCCGCGGAACCAACCAACGAACTTCGGGGGGTGGCTAGACAGATCACTTATTTCAATAGTTGGATATCGATCCCTTCATGCTTGTAAATTTCATTCATACAAGCATAGACAATGTATCCAGAGTGTTGGAAAAGGTTGTTAGCCCATGCATATTAACTTCCATTACGCGGTCGGTTGAGGTATTTAGGCAGACCCGATAATACCTCCATGGATGGACAGACAGATAGATTAGAGACACAGCTGGTATAACCTTACCTATAGCACTGAGGGCCACCACTCCTGCTACTGTGGGGATGATGACAGCATACGGTCTGGGAAGGAAGTACTGATGCACAATGTGGTCATCATCTACAAAAGGCTGCATTAAAAAACAACAAAAAGGTGATGCTTAACAGGGCTTCATATAAAATATACTTACTGTATTCAGAAAAAACACAGGGTTATATGACTTAAATACATACACATACACACAGACATGCACGCACGCACACACATACAGACACACACACACGGACACACACACACGGACACACACACACATACACACTGACACACACACACATGGACACACACACACGGATACACACACACATACACACCGGGTGGTCTTTTCTGGGTGGTCGAACCATACGTTCAAACCTGTCATAATTTTACAATTATAGTCAACTTCAAGATAAACATTTAACTGTAAAGACAGTTCTAAAGTTGAATGCATAAGTTTGGTGTTACTAAAATTATTTGGTTATTTGTAAAACAACACAGTTCCTCTGTCCTCACCAGAACAACAGCCCAGACGGTGTAGTAAGTAAAGATCAGAGCACTGAGCGCCACCATACACATCCCCACTGCCTGGTCAGAACCTGTTGCCTGGGAAAAAAAATATGATTATATTAATTACTTCAATGTAAACCTAAAAATCTTATATCAAGAGAAAGAAAAAATCATTGAAAGACCCTGGATACTAGTCTGGTTACCAAACCTATTATGGCTCCCGAGTCCTACGACTCGGGAGCTATAATAGGTTTGGTAACCAGGCTACCTGGATACTACAACTCTTCCTCAAAAGACATGTTGTTTCTGGCTCTCTCTAAATATGTATCTATTGAGGTTCAAAATTCCTATTTAACCTCCTTGATATATCATTTATATGATTAGCCCGGTGATAAGTTAACGGAGATTTACTCTCTAAACTAGACAAATCTAGCGGTTCAACGGTTACACTTGGGACGATAATCATTTGGATGTAGCTTGTCCATTTGATTCTCTGCTTATACCAACTAAAATGACTTTAGTTACTTACCATTTTGCTGTAAACGCAGCTTTTTTAACACCAAAAAATGATCCTTGGAACCAGGAAGGGTTGCCACCTCGCCAGCTGGTGACCTTTGACCGCTCAGGCTCTGACCCATGACCCCGCAGAATTCCAACATGGCCGCCAACACGAAGGAAAATCTGCGAATCTCGTGGTTTTTATACCATTTCTTAGTATTCCTGGCCTTACATGGGACGACAGTGAGCGGGGAGATGCGGTGAGTAACAGCGAGTGTATAGACTGCCCAGCCCACTGGGTTCAGGACCTTTTGGCCTAGTTAGTTGGCCTAATAAATCTCAGAGAAGAGAGGGCCGAGGGAGTGGTGTATAACCAAAATTATATGGGGCCTGGAGCTAAGCTTTTGGCCTAATCGGCTTGTGCGCTAGTTGTATGAATGAATGAGTGAGTGAGTGAGTGAGTGAGTGAGTGAGTGAGTGAGTGAGTGAGTGAGTGAGTGAGTGAGTGTCTGAGTGAGTGAGTGAGTGAGTGAGAGTGAGTGAGTGAATGAGAGTGAGCGAGTGAGTGAATGAATGAAATTCTGAATGAATGAAATTCTGAATGAATGAACTCAGCTCATTGCTCGACAGTTGTACATGGTACAAATTACAGTGTATGGCAACAATGACAATGTGATCAATACAGTAAGTCTATTCTAAGAATGTGTTGTGAACTGACGGGTTTACGGAAAAACCTGGGCTGTCTACCTTGCCTGACGTCCTAGACAGGCAAGGTAGACTGGTAAGGTAGCCTGGCAAGGTAGACAGCCCAGGTTTTTCCGTAAACCCGTGAACTGACACGCTGTGCCAGAGTTGTAAGAAACAAAGGCGAGCAGTAGAAACAAACCCCTGGTCCCAGGCCGGGGTTCGAACCCATGACCTCCCGGGCACCAGTCCGACGCTCTAACCACTCGGCTGAAAAGGTCTAGACCCGTCAGCCGGGTCAGTTGGTAGCGCCTATAACCCCCCCACTAGTACTGTTACACTGTTAACTTGGAGTTACCCCCTTCTCCTGTGTTCCAGGTGTGTGAAGACAGGCCCGTGCAGCTGTGAGATGGCGGACGGGTCGGGCAAAATCGACCTCATCACACTGGCGGAAGTCGGGGAGCCCATGGTGTATGATGAACAGGGCAGGTCTGGGAAGCTTAGCACGACTTAAACATCACAAATTTGCCTCACGTGCAATGTTTATTAGTTTAACAGGGCCTTACAATACTTACCTGGTAGCCCAAAAAAAATCATAGCCTTGGTGCCAGACTGCTGCCTGAGACAGTATATACAGCTTAGCTCCTACTAGGAGATTTTGGCCCTGGAGCAGAGGAGGTAGGAGTCCTAGCTCCTCTGCTCCAGGGCCAAAATGTCCACAGACCTCTTCAGTTAGAGCAAGACTCTGAGAAACTAGCATGTTTAATTTTGTGCAGAGAACAGTCTGGCATCCAGAGTCAACATTTAATGATACATCATAAAAGTAATCTGAGTAAGGTTTCAATTGCGAGTCTCTTTAAAGTTAAATGTACGAATAGCATTGTTGATAAAGCAACATATGGGTATGGACAAAAATTTATGTGCAATACATGTAATTAGAATGCATAAAGTAATAGATAAAACTGAATTGGAATATGATGATTTGAGTGCTGAAAATTCATTTGAATACAATAATGAAATGCAATTATTATCAGTACCTAACAAGTTAAGAAACTAAAAAGTAAAAGTGGATTAATATCATATGAATCATTTTAAACATAATCACAAAAGTGTGATAATCTGTCTGACTCTAAATAGTGAGTGAAATGTTTTCTCAGGAATAGACTGTTGTTGCTTCCCTGAACGTTGGAAATGATGACCAATGAAGGGAAGCCCATGTTTTTTGCATGTGCATGGTCAACCTCAGGAGTTGTGTCTGGTAATTTCTTCAGACATTGTTTTTTTTATCTAACTTATTGTAAACTTCTTCAGTATTTTGAGTTGACTAAATGGTAACAGCAGGCATATACTTACGATTTGCTAGAAATTGACTTGTTTTGTTATGTGCAAATAACTAACTAACTAACCAACAAATAACTAAAAAAAGACAACTTTTGCTGGACAGTGGATTGTAAACTAGGGTAAAAAAAGATACCGCTCGCACTTAGCTTACACGGGGTGCACAGGTGTAACATCAAACAATAATTAGAAAATCCACTTGTATTTTACGAAGCAGGAACACTGTCAAAAATACAACATAAACTAAATGTTCAATGGTGACTAAAATATATTTTTTTCCCTTACCTGTTCCTCAGAGACCTGAATTTTTACTCCTTCAACCCGTGCCTGCCGTTTGAGGAGCCAAACGGTATCGATGTCTGCGCGAATGTGGCCGTGTGTATGTACCGGGAGGTGGACGGGGTGGACACGTATTACAACTGTGGGGAACATCTGTACTCAGACTTTGTCTACAATAACGACACTGGATACATCGATCTTGTCTATACAGGTTTGTACTTTATATCTAGTGGCAGTATGAAAAATACTCTGGATTAAGAAATCTGTCTGATTTTGACATTCCATGACACATGCCATTTTTTAGTACATTTTTGTCATACACAATTCTCTTATCCTTGTTATTTGCAATTAGCTTTCAGGCAGGAATTTGCAATATTGACAAACTTATTGTTAATCCATGGGGTCATGTGGCGTAACGGCAGAGTGCTCGACTCGGAACCAAGAGGTCCCGGGTTCAAGTCCTGACATCTCGCCACCAATCTTGTGCCCTTGGGAAAGGCACTTTACACGACTTTCCTCACTTCACTCAGGTGAAAAAGTATTGAGTATTGTATTGTCCCCTGTGTTGGTGGTGGCATTAATATAAGTTTAAAAAAAACAACTTGAGTGTGCCATCACCACGTCTTGTGATTATATGTTGGAATATAAAAAAAATCCTTCTTAACTTCCTGTAGGTGGATATGAGCTGGGAGACGTGCGTCACACCGTCATCCATCTCCAGTGCGGCCTCATCTTCGACCTTGACATCCAAGGTTACCAGGAGGCCAGCCGGACGGTTGTCATGACGATGGCCACGCCCTGTGCCTGTGTGACGGGCTGTGAGGGGTTTAAGGACCTGAGTCCTGGCTCCGTCCTGCTCATCATTTTCACCGTTTCCCTGGCGTTCTACTTCGCTGCAGGTGGGTGTCTGGACTCACTTTGTTTTTCTGCATATTTTACAGAAGCGCTTTTGTGTTTGTTTGCACTTTCTTGAAGACATTTTTGCATTTGCACACATTAAAACTTAATAGAGATCATCATCATCATTTTGGGTGGCTCACCCAGACTATGTTAACAGTGCATTTTTTTCCCTGATATTGATGTCTCTTAATCAATGAAAGTCTGATAATATAGTGATAGAGTTAATCAACTTGGGAATAATCAGTAATGATCTTTCCTGGTGTAGACCTGCCTTTTTATGTTTTGTTGAATACAAAGTTTATACATTTTCTCAAGTTGTTATGTACCAAGACATTTGTCCAACAAACCACCAATGTGCATGTGTCCTGCTTGTTTTCCCAGGTGCGTTTTACCTGCACACAGTGAGAGAGAAGCAGGGCTGTGACATGATCCCACACAGACACATGTGGGCCGAGCTGGGCAGCCTCATCAGGGACGGGTGCTGCTTCGTTATGGGGCCTTGCCGGGGAAACAGTCCAGATGTTCTCTACTCACAGTACGAGAGGCCGTCGCAGTATGAGAGACCCGAGTATGACGGACCTGTGTAACCATGGTGATGGTCACCGTGGTGACGGTAACCATGGTGACGGTAACCATGGTGATGGTAACTATGGTGATGGTATCCATGGTGATGGTAACCATGGTGATGATAACTATGGGGATGGTAACCATGGTGATGGTAACCATGGTGATGGTAACTATGGTGATGGTAACCATGGCGATGGTAACCGTGGCGATGGTAACCATGGTGATGGTAGCCATGGTAACCATGGTGATATTAACTATGGTGATGGTAACCATGGCGACGATAACCACGGTGATGGTAACCATGGTGATGGTAACCATGGTGAATAAAAGATTTCACACCTATTTTGCTGATAGACAACTGTTAGGCAAACCGTGCTGCTCTAGATTCATAATTTTGATAGATCATGCAGTACAAATATTGAACATTGATTGAAATTGTACAGGGCACGCCTGTAAAGCAGTATATTGTACTGAGTGCGTCTACCCTGTATAAAGAAGACAGAAATAAATAAATAAATAAATAAATAAATTCTACTTATATGCAAATCTGTAAGGCAAACAGTGTAATCTTAGCATCTTTTGTATGTGTTAGTTGAGCATATTTTTGTTTTTATATAAATGATACATAAGACATAGTAGTACATACTACCAGTTCTTTATTTATTTAAGACCACACCAGTTGTGTTTGTTGCTTCTTCGAACTTGCCAGTCAGTAAGATCATGGATGTACTCGATCATCTAATGCCTTATGATGGGATGATGCAATGTCTAATACAAATTAGAAAATCAAACTGCTATCTTCCAATGAAGTTCCAGAAATAGATGATCGCTAATTAATATTACTCAAAATGTATTCATCACCTTAAGATATGTCCTAGATTCTTTGTCGTATTGAATATTGATATATTGAATAATGTTTCTATCTGATGGCTTGAACTTAGATAGATAGAATTTACACTACCATTGCTGACAGTTTTCTATGGTAACAACTTTGATATGTTGTATCCTGCACATGCTATGGGCATGATTTTTCAGTGGCAGATACAAATGTACTCTTGTCTTTTAGCTCTTGTATTAAAAGGCAAAGACTTTAAGTTAAATGTTGTTTGGAATCCTATGTAAGGCACGTTTGAAATACTGCCAATCACCACAATACCACCACTGACGTATCAAGTCATTTGGGTGATGTTGTGTCGCTTCACATACTATGAAATGGTCCGACTGTTGAATACATCACTGTTGCCCGCGGCGCCGTGGCAGTTTCTGGCGGGACCCCGGTTTCGGCCACTGGATCCTGCCCTGCTGCCACTGCAGGCCGCTCATTTCCCACCGGTGTCTGCGGTACCAGTTGTGTGGGCTCTCGCTCTCACTGCGGGCCCTGACGTCACCAATG